AAAGCAAACAGGTTGAGTCTTTCACTGTAGGCCTGAAAATTGTGTATTACTTCCTGTTTCGCACTACCGGTGCTGGTGCCAGCATCCTATGCACTTGCAGTAAAGTACTGCAGCTGGCGCCTAGAGTCTGGAAATGGAATCACAGCCGTGGGACTGCCAAGCAGCTCAGCCTCTCCCTGAATTTTAGCAACAGAAGATGTATTTTTTTGGGTCATGAGTTTCATCCATTGTGTGATCTTTCTTTGATGGCACACATACATGTCACATGTGTGAGTCTGCGTTACCAGGTACTCTCACCAACAGACCCAGTTTATGCAGGTGCAGCTGTTGTGTAAAGAGTGGTTGTGAGGTCTGCACAAGCGTACTGCGGCAGCAGTGTTGCAGGAAGCTGTCTGTCAAATTTCCTGACTTCTCTGTGCTAAGCTCTCAAATGCAGTGTTGCATTTATAGATATTTTTCTCCATGTTTCTCTGTGAAGAGGAGAATTGTTTTAATCCTATATGTGGAGAGGTCTTTCCTGCCTCATGAGTAAGTTTACTATAAAATAAGAGGAGGAGCAGTACTGAAGTCTTGGTCCACCAGATTACGTTGTTAGTGATCTGAACAGGTCTAAAGGCAGAGGCACTTCTGTGTTTCTAGCAAAGGATGAAGTTTCAAGCGTAAATTTTATAAAGAGGGACCCAAAGTAATGTGTTTTATTCTGTGGAAACGATAATATGTTAGAAAGGGTAAATCACGCTTGTCCAGTATTCTTTAAGTGAGAAATGTATGTACTAGAATAATGCAAAACAAAAACGAAGGAGATTCTAGTTCAGCAACATTATTAAAATATTTACATTTTATTAGATCTAGATAAATAAGTGAAATTAATTTTAAGCTTTATTTAACTCAGGAGTATTCTAACCTTTTCTTATATTTGTATCTGGATGAATATTTTTCTAGTGAGTTCAAATCTTGCATCTTTAACAGTTCTTAATCATTTTCTTATGCAACAGCTGCTGGTAGATTTTGGGCTTTTTAGCCCTCAGATTTTAAGGAACAAATAAATTAAGGTATTATCTTTTAGGTGGGATCAAAGATTAGTAGCTTCAAGTTAAAGACATTTAAGTTGAGTAACAGGAATGATCATTAACTTTTATATGCTCTCTGTTACGGTCGCTACCACAGAAAAAATGAAAAAAAAAGACTTTTACAAAATAATATTATTAGAAATTAGTTTTTAAGTTAAATTTTTTTCTGTGTTCTATTTTAAAATATGGATTCAGTGAAGTCTGTAGAAGATACCAATTTCAAACATAAATATTAATATTTCAGTAAGAACAAATTGTAGTTTCCTCCTGGTTGAGATTTTAAAAATAAATATTGAATTCAACTGTATTTATTACAGTATTGTTACACAACACACATGGAAGGGCACTTTACCATTTATTTGTGAATACGTAGTATAAAATTCGAATGAATTAGATTTTATACTTAACCTGTGTTCTGATATGTATGAAAACTTCAAGAAGAGTACACTTTCAGTGCATTGTTCCCTCTGGCCATCTTCTACCTCCTGGCAGTATTTCTCACTTTTGAAGTAAAATTTCTATGAAACTTCTTCATATTGACTTACATACATTCCCTTTGTCATTGGAGGCCCGGTGGAAGAGGAGACCACTCCTTTTTGGCTATGGCATTGACCTCAGTAGTATAGTTGAATTTTAGGGTGCTTGATGTAAAGTTGCATAAGTATATGTACATATTCTTCTTATATAGTAGCCTGGTGGTTCTTTCTGTGAGAGGAGATTGAATCCATATCTGCCAAAGGCGTCCCCTGTCTCTTATGTTGTATGCTATTATGAAGTCTTTAACGTAACCTATAGGTGCTTGTCTGTATTAAGGAGTATTTAATGAACTTAAATTTTTGTTACGTGTCATGCAAATATGAACTATGGCCTGGAAGTTAAGGAACAACCTTGAAAAATACGTATCCATATTCTAATTTTTGCTCCAGAGAATATTTAAGTCTTCTGTATAAGTCAAAAACTATGTACATAAGAGAAGCTGAGAGGCATTTTGCTGCTGCCTTTTGGAATAGCCAGAAATACAGACATTCATACATTCCTTAGAAAGGTGAGGATGGTTCAGACCTTTCAGAAGAAGTAGTTGAATCACATACAGGCTAGGTAAGATTCTTTCTGCTCTGTAAAAATTTGCATGCTGTTACAATACTGGAAAATAACAGATTTTGGTGATCAAAATTCCTTTGATTTCCCTTAGAGCTGATTAGTTCATTCACTAGCTCAAAATCAAAGTAGCACTTATTTACACAGCCCTGTCTAAATTAAGCATAATTTGAAGAACTGGCAGTCTTACAGCACTGTGTCCCTGTGCATAGCATGAATTAATTGACTAAAAACCCTAGGAGAGTGAAGCGTGTCTGATGACCTCTTCATCTCCTACATTAGCTAATAGCATTCCTATAACCCTGCGTGCAGGCTTCTGAAGTTTGCAAGTGTTTTCTTCTGTTCCATTCCTGTTGTAGCTAAAATGTTAGGATTTCTTCAGTAATGAAGAGTAGGAGCATGCAAGATGAGCACTTGTTTGCAGGTCTTAGCAGTGATAGAGAAAATAAAAGATATATAAATAAGTAATATTTATTTACATATAAGTAAAATCTGCTCTCAGTTAACTTTTGCTTAGTTGGTAGTACGTTCATCTGCCCTTTGGTGCACACAGAAGGGCAAAATATCATCGTATTAATACACTTTCTGAGCTTCATAGGAAATCAAAAAAAATGCAGCTACATACTGCCTAATTAAAACTTGAAACAAGTCTACCACCAAAAAAGAAATTCCTGCACAAATGTAGAATTCTCTCATAGAATTCTCTCACTAGATATGCATTGCTTAAATGGTGTGAATCTCAATGCTAATTAATGGAGTAGGTAGCTCAAAGTGGGTGGAGATGAAGGATATAATCAAGACTTCTATAGACAACACACCTACTCTTATCATTTATCAAACTCAAGACTCCCTGTGTCTATTAATAAGCTATTTAGTTGTTCATGAATTTTTAATGTTATCCATGGAGATGTAGATTTAAAGCAACATCTGAAAATGTAGTCTGTAGTTTCCATATAGTGTGTATAGTGTACAACTAAAGATTTAGTTGTAAATGTACCCTACCTAATGTGCTGCATGTCTAAGCTTTTGGGTCAAGCTCACAAAACTCCAACTCAGGAGTTGCAATACTATACCAGGGCACCTAAAGAAAATTTTATTTCTTGTATGATTTGATCAATAGTAAAATAGTTAACAGAGTTGGAATATAATCCCTTTAATTAAGCTCCAGGCTGAGTTTTCACATGAAAGCTGAGCTAATACCAGCTAGTTGCTACAAAAAGGGCGCTCCTGCTCTCACATAATCACAGAATGGCCAAGGTGGAAGGGACCTCTGGAGGTCATCTTGTCCAGTAGTCCAAACCCCTTGCTCCAGTAGGGTCCTCTCTCTCCCCTGCTTCTGGCAGAACCCATGTCCTTTTTTTTTTCCTTTGGTGGGTGTCAAAACAAGTGCATAAGGAGCCGCAATATCATGCGGCCAGGAGCAGGAGAGGAGCCAGCGTGCCCTTTTGGAGGTGTGGCTAGCCCTTTAATTGGTTCGTCTGTGAAGCTTCACTCTTACAGCCAAAATCTCATAGAAACAAGCAGGAGAACCCACTCTTCTCAGAGATAATATTATGTAACTGTAATGTAGGTCTTCACATCACAGTGATATAAAAGATTTCATCATTAATGATCAAATTGGCATTATTCCTGGCTTACAGAAAAGGAAGTAGAGAACAGAAGGGTGAATTCTCAAGCCTTGAGCTCAGGATTAGAAGCCAGGTCTTCTGAGTAGCAAGAAATGTGGCTAGTTGGTAGGCATACCCTCAGGCTGTTTGTTATGTGAGGCAGCTGGAAGAGAACAGCTACTCAGCATTTATGGCTTGTTCATATTTTGAAGATTAACTCCATAAGGGAATAAGACTGAATTTTTTCATGTAGTAAAATTCTATTTCATAATGAAACATGTAGTTGCCATTGTGGCTAATTTGTTACCGGCAAGCAGGCATATGCAGTACCTGTAGTGACATCCACACTGAACAGCAGTGTTCACCTTAGCATTCTATATACCCGCTAATGCACCTGTATATACTATATACTCCTCCAGCTGAGTTAAAACAAATGTCTGTAATGAAGGTCAGGACAGGTCTGAGTTTTACCTTAAATAATCTCTGTTGTTAACACTAATAGAATAGAATATTCTGTGATGCTATAGAAAATTAAGATGCAGGTTTCACTTAGAAAATTGTTTTAAAATTCTCGTAGGGCTAGTGTGACAGTAGAATGCTTGCTGGAATCTTTTAAGTTACGTATGTTAGTAATTTAGATTTTGAAAACAGAAGCATGACACTGAAATTGAAGCTTGGTTATAATTTTTGATTACAGCTGCTGTATAAATAAAATGATGATTAAAAGGCAAGGCTGTTTTGCTCAGGCAATTATTTTTTAGCTTTTATTTTGTAATGTGTTAGATTCTTTTGTATAAGGCTGTGCATTTTTGGCCACGTTTGCATATTTAGATCAAGTTCAAGTGACTGTTCAAGTGAAATAATTTTCTCACCCTCTTTTATCTAACATGAATACGTATGTCTCTTAGTTTTTTCCTTAAGATTGTCCTGTTGCAGTCTTCCAGATGCAGTGGGTATTTGATATGAGATGAAATGTACAAGAATATTAGGCTTATTTATGAATTGAAAGAGAGAAATATACAGTAATTGTGTTTCCTTCCATTCTTGCTATATAAACTTTTTTCTCATCTATGCAGGAGGTTGCATCAGCAATTTGAAAGCTATAAAGAACAAGTAAGAAAGATAGGGGAAGAAGCCCGCCGTTACCAGGGAGAGCACAAGGATGATGCTCCGACATGTGGAATCTGTCATAAAACAAAGTTTGCAGATGGTTGTGGCCATTTATGCTCTTATTGCCGGACCAAGTTTTGTGCTCGATGCGGAGGTCGTGTCTCTCTACGATCAAACAATGTAAGTGTTCTGATGTGTGCTCTTAAGAAAAAGCCTCCTTGGCATTGTCAAAATACAGTTTGCTCACCTTAAGTTTGGCATTTCATGCTTCATTTTACTTGAACATTTCATTCATCATTTTGTTATGAGGTGTAGGTATAAATGGAATCATATATTTAATAATTGTGGAGATGCAGGATTCACAGAGTTAGTTAATTAAAATAAGAGAATACGTAGAATATGGTTGTACTGAGTGATGCTTGAAGAAAACATTCTTGTTCTGGTCAGAATGGAAGAAAGAAACCTTCTGCTGAGGTAAAACTCCATACTGAGAAATTCTGATTGAACTCTTATTTTGTGTCTCTTTTAAAAAGCTTTTCATACACATTTTTAGATTTCTCTTACATAAAATCAATCCTTTTTTGGTTAAGACAAAATCTTTCTTACTACACTGAGAGAGTAATGTCAGTATGTTTTTAATTAAGTTTAAAAATGAAACTCTGGATTTATCTAGATTAGGTATCCTACTTTAAGGTGGGTGTGATTTGTCTTTCTCCCTCTGACTTGCACGCAGTTAGCTGCAGTAGCTGTCCACAAAAGTGAAGGCTGTCCTGGGATAGCCTCTGTTCAGTCAGTCCATTGCAAGGAGCTGGCTATGCACTTGTATGGGATTGGTAGGCTCTGTATTTGGAAGGCCATTATCCAACATTTATTTTTGGCTCATCATCTAGTGCTGTCGTGTGTTATAAAATATTTTACAAATACCCTTTTACTGCATGAATACTTTTATTAACTATCATGGGATGAGATAACTTTCTGCAGAGGGCTTCAAGGTGACAGTCTTTTGTATGGGGAGCTCACCTTTTTGCATCTGTAGAAATACAGTAAAAAGTGGTTATGAAATCTACAGCAGATAATCACATTCACAGGAGAACTAGTTTATGACCTTTTGACTTTCTTTGGGCTCAAACTTGGCTTCTGAAATTTCATGTAAACCAAACCAAAATGACTCTGCAAAATACCAATTTTATCTTTGTTTTGGGAGCTTTCCGTAACCCTAATGTACGTGTGAGTGTATTAACTTAAATTAAATTAATTTTCTGAAAAAGTAATGCAGATGTGATGGGTGAAAGTTAAGTGGATGCATTATATTGTATCACCTGCAGGTGGTATCATTAGAACAAGTCTGAAAATCTTGTTTACTTTGATATATTAGCTTATAATATTAATTGGAGTATATCAAGCGCACTTTATCTTTACTCAGAAAGAAATTGAACATATTTTAATTGTTTTTCACTTACTATTGCAAGTCAGAAACGGAAACTGTGAAAGTTTCCATTCATTTGTAACTTCTATATTGTTTGTTATATTGTTCATACTTCTATATGTTTGGGTGGGGATATGTGTTTTCTACATATGCAATGGTGTAACCTTTTTATTTAAAGCCTTTTTTTTGAAATCTTATGTTTTTAGCTCTTTGTAGAGAGTTTATTAGAATTGCATTTCTTTGAAATCTGCCTATTAATACTTGCCTACTTTGTTCTTTTTCTCTTCTTTTTCCTTTTCTCTTTTTATTCTGCTTCCTTGGATGCTTTCCCAAAGGAGGATAAAGTGGTTAGAATCCATGCTTTTTATCATTTATTATTATAATGTTGTTAGTTAACTGGGAAACATACTCATGTCAAAAACTGAACTGAAATTCTAAAATGATCCAAAGGGGAGGGGGGAAGAGTAGCAAAGCTCACAGCCAGACCCCTCCCATCCCCTAGCTGAACAAAACCGCTAAAGATAGCCCAGCAAGAAAAGCTAAGACTGTTCTTAGTTTTTGTGCAGTTGTCAAAATTAGGACAATTGAAGCAATTCATTAAAAACTGAGGATTATTAATCCCAATAGACTAAAAAGTAGAGGAAGCAATAAAATATAATGAAGCAACGAAATATAATAAAGCATTATTTTGTAAAAATGACTTTGGTTAGTGATCTGACTTTTTGCATGCAAGGTCCTTCCATCTGCTTCAGGACATCTAATTTAATATTTTAAATGTAATTTTACACTGATTTATATTGTTTGCTGTGTTTCACTTCTGGCTGCAGCAAAAATTCAGGGAATTCTTCTGAAATCATCCTTTTGATTTTACTTTTGAAATATTTGCCTGGACAAAAGATGACCTTTTAAAGCCGTACATAAATGTAGTGGGTACGACGGAGTGAATCCATTGTAAATGAGTAAGGGTACATTTCAAAAAATGGTAAAACTGCTTTGGGACCAAATGCAATAGTGGCCTATTCAGCGTTCATTCCTGTGCCTCTTCAGAAATAGGTCTGTGTAGTTTCCACTTTTTCTCTGTATCCTCTGCAAAGAGAGAGTGGTGGCAGTACTCAGGCAGGAGGCTGCATGTCTGCTTAATTCCTGTTCTCAGGCAGGTCTAGAAAAGCTGTTCCTAGCTTTTAACTTGGAGACTTAGTGGGAAGTAGCCAGCTTCACTGTCACTTCAGCTGAAATGAATGTAAAGTCATTGCAACCCAACATAGCTTTTGACTTGCAGATGATGTTGCTACACTTGTATTATGAAGTGGTGGTGTTCCACAGCTAATATCATAGCACAGCTATAAACTGCAATTAGTACAAAGCTTACAGAAGTTAGTGCAAAGCTTACAGAAAAATGCTTTCTCTGTGCATTAGAGTATGTCTTTCTTTAGGCAAGAGTGTTGTGAGAACCAGTTTGTGTAGCCTGGCAATGGGAAGGGGAGCTGTCAACTCTTTCGAGAGTTCTGGTTGCGTCAAGTGCAGCAGCATCTACTGCTGCTGCTTACGCACATACTTTATGTTATCGTAGCTATAGAATTTGGTTTTCACACCAATTCTTGACGAGGTGCTACCCAAATCAGGGAGGATGAATAACTATGCTCGCAAGCATCAGTAACAACTGTTAAAGACAGCTCTTTATAGGGGAGATGAAATGGTTCCCTCATGTCTGTCTCTGAGTTGTTCTCTGTTCTCTGCTTTCTGGTTCCTAATGGACCTGGTTGTATTTCTAATGGCTATGAAGTTTGGCTTGCTACAGCTTCATTCCACTGTTTTCTATGTGCTGCTCTGAACAAAGTAGTGAAACAACCCAGTACTTTTGATCTTTTCCATTCTATTAGTCTAAATCACTTAGGATAGAGAGAGAAGTTTCCACTTGATATTGATTTGTTTCTAAAGCAGTGCATCATTGATGACTCCACTGGGGTATATCAAAAGGCTAGTGCTCTTGCAGCAGAAACAGCTTTAGGACCAGATACAGCAAAGCTCTTAAGTGCTCTGAAAGTGCCACTTAGATACCATTTAGCCGCCTAGGTTTGGGAGAGCAATCCAGGCGAACCTGGATTATATATTCTTGATTTGATGAGGTGACAGCTTAGGTGTGTATCTTCGACTGATGCCATTTGAAACGCAGAAAATAGGCCTCACAGCACTTAAGTTCCCTGAAGACGCGCGCTGAAGACATACCTAACTCATTTGGATTGTCCTAACTTCAGTTAAAGATATCCTTGTTGTTTGCACTTGCCTTGGTTTAGGTTTTGCCATTGCTGAACTCCAAGCTTCCACATGCCAAGAAAATGGCCTAATATCATACATGAACATATCATTTATACCTTGTGATGAAGCTGGACCCACTTCTGATTCACAGCTGAAAAATTATGGGGGTCAGCAGGAGATTATACAGTAATTGAGACTAATTATATGAGGAGCATAGGGAGCTTTTTTATAAAGTACAATTGCTTTAACAATGCCTTTGTCTGGGTGCTAACAGACCATATGGTATGAATTAATTAAAAAGGTGGTTAAATAATTGGCAAGTAATGTCACTTATAAGCAGAACAATGGGTAAAATTTGTATAAAGCAACACCAGAAAGAAAAATATTATTTGTTGATTATTTTCAGTGGCTCAACATTCCTGACTAATCTACCTGTAGGGACAAACCTTTCTTTACCTGGTGAGTTTAATGTTAGTAAAGAAGTTTTATAAATGTGTAGGTGACTCTTGTTCTTGCCATGTTAATTTTTACCACTTGAAATGATATTAATATTCAAGCATGTGCACCACGTTCCTATAAGCTAGGGATTCATAAGCTGGAAAGGATGGTCAACCGTGAATTACCAAAGTGTCAAGCCCAGAAAAAGTCAAGCATGACCCCAGATTCAAGATATTTCTGGCAGAGATGAAGATTTAAGCCAGTGGTGGTAGCGCTAATGAGACCTCACCTTGGATGTCGTGTGCCATATGTTACCCATCTTTGATAAAGATAAATTCAAGCTGTGAAGGGTACAAAGAAAGTCATACAAAGGAATGAAGAGTTCATCCTATGAGATAAGACTAGTGAGATTAGAGAGACAAAAGCTAGGGAAATTATAACTGATATCTAGAAATACAGTAAGTTTAAATAATAAGCAGTAGAAATAACCATTAAACTAGAAGTAAGCCCAAATGCATGTAAATTGGCCATAAATGCTTTTGGCTTGGGAGAATATTTTTGCAATTGGTAGCGTAAAGCTTTGGTAAAATCTTTGGTATGACTCATTGGAAGGAAAGCATAACTCAGTAAAGTTTTAAAGGCGAATTTAAGAAAGGATTTATATGATGTGGTTACTTGCGACTGCAAGGGTATGTATATGATCCCTTACGATCCCTTAGCTACTCTTTGCTAAGATATTTTAAAAAATGTGGTACAGATGATGTAATAATTTAGGGAAAGCTTCTGGAGCTGTTCTTTACCTTTTAAGTAAATACTAAATATCTTTGAAGGACTGTTTAAAAAATATAGACCAGAAATTAGTATATGCAGTTTCCTCTCCCTACTTAAAATAGTATATGACATCCCAAAATATTAATTCCTTGTAGTGGGAGTCAGTAGGCATCCTAATTTTATTATGAGAGTTCTGTGATTGCAGTGCACTTACAAAATGAATTGATAGTAACTGATACATCCTAGTGGCTAATGAGGCACATACCTTTTAATGATTCTTGTTCAAATATGTCAAAGGGCATTACTAAATGTGTATTTTAAGTTCTTGCATGTGCTTTGGGTATTGGTTAGCTTTTCATATTTTTCACTCATATCTATTCTTTCTTCACATGGTTGCAGACAGACTACATTTAACAGGAGCATTTTCAGATGAGAGGACTATTAACTTAGTTGCTAAATTCAGGCTTAAATTTAGTTGTTCAGTGAGAGTATTCACTGTTTTCATACTGTTAGCAATAATGTCAGCAGTGGTTCTGTTCACTGAAAACAGTATGGCATACAGAAAAAAAAATGTCCTCATTCACATGACCTTAGTATTCAGAAACCGTGTTAATGCTATTATGGCAACCTGTTTGTTGTGAGCACTGAACGTTGTGTATACGTTGTAAGAAACTAGAATATTAGTAACAGGATTTTACAGGAGGCGTTTCAAAAGGAAGTAATGTAGCTGCTTAGAAAAAAGCTGGCAGGAGTGACTCTCTTATTTGGTGTTTTCTAGATATTTTACAGAGTTTCTCACGGAATGGCAGCACTTCTGCCCCGGATCGTACTATTTCTGTTCCATACACCAGCGTTTTAATTGCTGACATAGTGATGGGTTTGTTAATTTACTTGTTCCCATTTTATTTACCCTTCTCTCTGAGGTGAACTATCGGTGTGAGCAGAGCAGTGGAGAAGAGATCAAAATGTCTGGCTGATGCTTCTCTGCAATTTGGCAAGGAATGGGCAGAACCTTGATTCAATCCTCCCAAAACTGTAGCTATCACTGCTTGTTCTTTTCTTTGCTGCACTTGTGCCTGAGACTTGAATAGCAAAAGACACCTGATAATAAAACGTGATATTTGCATTGTTCCTGTAAAAACTTCTTCCTAATATTTGCTTACATAGTGTACAAAGATAAATTGCCTTTATAAAAACACTTAATGCATGAAGGTGTATAGCTTTGTTTCTCTCTTCTTAAGGAAATAGAGAGACTCTTCAAGGTACGAAAGCAGTCTTGAATGAGAGAAGACAATTTCTTCAAAGCAAAATCAAAGTGTTTTGTGGGATGGGGTAGATGTTTTGAACTATGTGAAATTCATACAACACGGTGACAGAAAGAATTAGGTGGAAGATTACTGCCTCAGTGTAAGTCATATATTTTTTTCTCTAGAAATTAGTCTACCATCTCATAGACTTCACTAAGATTGCAATTTTTGATCAAATTAGAAGTGAAAATAGATGGGAACAAATTATGTTCCTTAAAAATAGTTGTGTTACCGTTCTTCCATTTTTTCCAGAAATGTTGGTTGTGCAGAATAGAGCAGTTTGATGACTCATTTTTCTATTTACATATGTAAAGGATGATTGAGAGGAAATCAGGATATGAAATACATGACAGATAAAAAGTGATTTAACTGAACTTTGTGCTATGTGATTGTGGAAAATACTGTCAACTGTAAGTGCTGAGATACTAGGGATTGACATTTCTGATCTAGGTTTGACGAAAATTATTTTCATTTTATGATTATGATGTCAGTGGTTTATATTCTGAAAGACAGACAACTTGGAAAGATTTCTCTAATTGTATGTCAGGTGCTTCTACAGGGTGTTTGTCATCTAA